ACTTACAAAAGAAATTCTAATACACAATTTCTAATGGGGTACTTTCAAATTCTAATAAACCTAGCATCATCAAAATCTAAATACATTTATTCCTTACACTAGCTACACTGATTGTAAGGTTATTCCAGGTGAGAGTGTTGTCACTCAGCATAGGATGCTTGTGCTTGACTTTCGAGGTAAGAACCATAGAAGACAAGTTAAACAACAAGTGGAGCCAAAGATAAAGTGGTGGAGGCTAGAGGGAGATCTTCAACAAAGCTTTACACACAAAATGGTCGATGAAGATGTATGGCGTATTGATAATGAAACACAAGTGGATGATGTGTGGTTATCAATGGAGTTGACCATTAACAAAGTGGCAAAGGAGGTACTTGGAGAATCTAAAGGATGTCGGCCACCTAAAAAGGACACATCTTGGTGGAATGATGAGGTGAAACAAGCCATAAGGAACAAAAGAGATTGCTACAAAAAGTTGGGGACAAATTGGAGTGATGAGAACATAGAAGCATACAGGGAGGCTAAAAGACAAGCAAAGAAAGCCGTAAGGGAAGCACGAGGGAAAGTGAACAAGGAGTTGTATGAAAAGTTGGACTCTAAGGAAGGAGAACTTGATATTTATAGACTTGCTCGTCTTCGTGATCGCAGAACTCAAGATATTGCAAAAGTTAAGTGTGTGAAGGATGTTGATCAGAGGATATTAATGGACGACGAAGAGATAAAAGAGAGGTGGAGGTCATACTTTGATACACTATTCAACGGGAACAAAACGCAAGATATCGGCGATTTATCCATACCAGATTGTATGGTTACCGTGATTTTGTGAGAAGGATCCAAACAACGGAAGTTAAAGAAGCTCTGAGGAAGATGGGACGGAAAAGAGCAATGGGGCCAGATGGCATACCGATCGAGGCTTAGAGAAGTTTGGGAGAGAGAGGCGTCGAGTGGTTAACAAGTTTCTTCAACATGATTTGGAGAAACAACAAGATGCCAACGAGTTAGAGGAAGAGTACTCTTATCCCTTTATTTAAGAATAAAGGTGATGTACAAGAATGTGCCAACTATCGAGGGATTAAGCTTATGAGTCACACCATGAAACTTTGGGAGCGAGTGATTGAGCAAAGACTTCGAAGGACTGTTAAGATTTCAGAGAATCAATTCGGTTTTATGCCTGGTCGCTCAACAACTGAGGCTATTCACCTTCTTCGTCAACTTATGGAGAAGTATAGAGATGCTCATAAGGATCTGCATTTGGTGTTCATCGACTTAGAAAAGGCATATGATAGGGTACCTCGAGAAGTTCTTTGGTGGGCTTTAACTAGGAAAGGCATATCATGTCACGTCCCGGACCTACCCGGACACGTCAACAACCCGCCGTACAGTACGAATAGTCAACCGCAGTCCGACTCATCCATACTATACAAGGCGTCTTGAATACCATTCACACATAGTACATCCATAAACAAACATAATGTAAAACATTTATTAAAACAGCGGAAACAATTGATACAAGTGTTCAAGCCACACTTGGCATAATTAGGCATGCAAGCCCCCAAAATAATTATTCAGAAAATATTATCCATGAGCATTATTCATATTGTTTTTCAAAACAAGAACGGGAGAAGCACGAACCAAGTCTTCTCCTCAGAAACTTCCCGAAGCAGCGGCTGGTGGTAGCAACCTTCAAGTTCTACCTGAAACTGTGAGGTGGCCTCCCCCGTGAAGGGGAGGCCAGTACTTGGAAGCATTTGACAAGTACAATGACAACTATACTAAGTATAATCAAAGTTTAAATCTCTGAGGCCCTCAAACTAGAGCATTATTACATTATAGTTAATCCGTTCATTTAATATCAATTCATCATTATTTACCACGGTCTAGAGCCCAGCTCATAATCACCGTCATCTACTACGGTCTAGAGCCCAGCTCATAATCACCGTCATCTACTACGGTCTAGAGCCCAGCTCATAATCACCGTCATCTACTACGGTCTAGAGCCCAGCTCATAATCACCGTCATCTACTACGGTCTAGAGCCCAGCTCATAATCACCGTTATCTACATCGGTCTTGAGCCCGACTCATAATCACCGATTCCTTATAATTCAAATTCTTAGGATCTAATTCATCCATTTCTCAACTAACATTTCCAACTAACATTTCAATGCTAGTTATTTATTTATTTCAATATAATTCTTCTTCTTGCACCATTGGCCTTAATATCAAGTATCACTTTCATACCCTCATAGCTTCTCCTCATGGCATCAAAGTATACTATCTCAAATGATATTCATGGTTAGTACAACCATCATACACACATATTCACAACATCTAAACATACACAATTTATTCATAAATTTGTGTATCATGCATACTATACTTATAATCAATAGTAGTTTCATTTAGGCATTATTAACCATTAACAACTCATACGCATCACATTTGTATTCACTTAGGAAATCCCATGAAATTAACCCAAAGATTATAGGTAACATAGTCGGTCATCCTCACCTTAATTAAGCTTAAGCGCGTTCTACGTTTCTTGATTGAACTTTGACCAACTCCGGCGAACTTTGACCAACTCCGGCGAACTTTGACCAACTCCGACGAAACTCCGGCGAGGCTCAAAAATACTTTAAATCAAGTTCCTAACAAGGTTTTATCATCACAAAACCCATATCAACACAAATAACCTATAAAAGGTTATTTTCCGGCAAACCGGTCGATTTGGCTTCTAAGTCCGTTTTTGGACTTAGAATCACTTTCCAACCCATTATTCCACACTTAAATCATGTAGAACAATACTAAAGGTCTTTCATATGATATATATCTTATATGCTAGAAGAAAAACAAAGGAAAAGTTATGATAAGGTCATTACCTTAATTTTCACACTTTTTCCTAGCGTTTTCCTTCTTAAACTTTCTTCTTGGACTCCCTTGAGCTTGAGTTCGGATTTGGGGCTATGGAGATGAAGTTGTAGAGGTTCTTTCCTCCTTTCCCTTGCTGCTGGACGAACTAGTGAGGAGGGGGATGGGTAGGAATGCCTCTTTGTCTCCTTTTGGGCAATGAGTGAAAGGGAGGAGGGCCACCATGATTTGTTTTGATGCCAAACATCTCAAATCAGTCCTCTCCCACCTCATATCTCTTACCAGCCTGCTAAGTCCCTGAATAATGAGGCTAAAATCGTGGGTTGGCCCCCACCCATGTGGGAGGTCAACCCTTTTTGTCCAGAAGTGTACAATCGGTCCCGAAAGTTGTATTTTTCCGGACTGTTTTAAGTATATTTTATTTTATCGGGTCAAATAAAATATAACACTTGTTCCCAATTCTTAATGGACCTTAGAATCAATATGCATCCCTCAACTTTAATTTACAAGTCTCCGAAATCCCTTTTCGGGCTGTTATCCGATAGATTGCCGATACTGATAATTTGGCCCCGTTTGACCAACCGGTCAACCCTATGCCATTGTCATGGCTCAACTAGGATATCCACCACCATATACATATTATCTAGTCCAAGATCAATATAATATGTTTGCCGACGATATTGTATTGATTGATGAGACGCAATCAGGTCTTAAAGCAAAGTTGGAAGTATGGCGACAAACATTGGAGAATAAGGGTTTCAAACTAAGTCGGAGCAAGACAGAGTACATGGAGTGCAAGTTTGGTGGAGGTAGAAGTAGTGGTAATAGCGGAATTACTCTGGATGGTAAGGAGATACCAATCAACGATATGTTCCGTTACTTGGGCTCCATAATTCAGAAGAACGGTGAGTTAGATGGAGATGTATCCCATAGAATCAGAACAGGGTGGATGAAGTGGAAGAGTGCGTCAGGATTTCTATGCGACCGATGTATGCCGACTAGACTGAAGGGTAAATTTTATAGGACAACAATTAGGCCTGCATTACTGTATGGCGTAGAGTGTTGGGCGGTGAAACAATGTCACATTCAAAAGATGAGTGTGGCAGAGATGCGCATGCTGCGTTGGATGTGTGGGCATACTAGGAAGGACCGCATGAGGAATGAGACAATCATATCAGACAAAGGGTGGGAGTAGCACCTATTGAAGACAAGATGCGGGAGTCGCGCCTACGGTGGTTTGGTCATGTGCGTAGAAGACCGAGTGATGCACCTGTTAGGCGAGTTGAGATGTGTGGAGAAGAGGCAGGGAAGAGAGGGAGAGGAAGACCCAAACAGACGTGGGTTAGGGGAGTTCGAAGTGATATGCTTCTTCTGGGATTGGATGAGGGCATGACTTTGGAGAGAACTAAGTGGAGGGCGGGTATTCACGTGAAGGAGTGATCTTGATAATCTTTTTCCCTCATCTTTTTTTTTCCTAGTTTTTTTATCCTTATATATATATATATATGCATTATTTGCAGCCTTTTTATTTTATCATTTTTATATATATTCATCTTTTTTATATTATCTTTTCATAATAGCTTATCTTTTTATCTTTATTCCTTCTTTTCCTTTTGGTTGTGATATCATGTATCGATTCATGTTAGCCGACCCCAATATCTTTTGGGACTAAGGCTTGGATGTTGTTGTTGTTGTTGATAATTAATTTATTATTCAAGAGTGTTAATTGTTTCCTAAAATAGAAAACAGGAACCTTTAAGTGGGACGTCCAGAAAAGGAAAGTCAGAACCTTCAAATGAGACAGAATGAATACTACGTAGTAGTATAATACTACCTCTGTCTCACTTACATCGAGACAATAGATGTGACAGGGTTATCAAGAATAATGAGTTTATGTGGTTGCTATTGAATTGATAAACTAAGAATAAAATAAAAATGATTAAAATCATACAAACTTTATCAAATTTTTGTATGAGACAATTTTAGTGAGATTTCACCAAAAAGAAAATCTCAGATCAAAGTGTTAAAGTGTTTTCTTTTGGATTAGATTTCATTCTCAAATCAAACCTGAGTATATCAGATTAGATTTAAACAGATTAGATCAGACTTGTAGTAGATCAATTTAACAAACATCCTTACTTTTAATTTGGGAAAGAAACAGCATTCACGAAAGGCGAGATCAATTCATACACCGCTTACTAGTAGCCAGGGCTTATTTACGTTGGAGTTTGGCTTCCTTTCACGTGGATCCAGGTGTAGTGTCATCCTCTGTCCCTTGTTTGCTTTGTATTTCTATGCGTGATCGCTTATTTTGTTCCACAAGTTCGTTGCTTGATCATTTCATCGGATACCAGAGGAAACCATGAATAAAACCGGAAGATATGAGAATGAGTTGCCGGATTTCTTTCCGATGTTGCCTGAATCACTTACTCATCACATATTGTCATTCCTCCCGTACAAGGATATCGTCCGTACTTCAATCTTGTCTAAGATGTGGAGTCGCATCTGGTTCAATTACCCTAACATCGATTTATTTTTGCATGAGGAGACTTACATGTATACACCACATCGTCTCTCTTTCACAGATCACATTAAATCTGTCATGGATCAATGCATTCTTCGAAAAGTTTGCATACAGAAGTTGCAGTTAAAAGTTTGTGCTGGTAACCCGGAGGAGTTGGCCCCCACTATCGATCAGTATTTGAGGGCTGCAATTGAGAGGAATGTTTCTGAGCTAGTGATTGAGATGAATTTTAGGCCAACCACTTACTATAATATTCCGAAGGAAGTATTTCTCTCTAATTCACTAAAGGTCTTAGAGCTTCAGGGCTGTAAGTTTGAGGATAGTGTTTCCTGCACTAATCTTCCCCGTCTACAGAGGCTCAAAACCATGCAGTGCCTGTTTGCCGGTGAGAACTTCTTATCCAAGATTTTATGTGGCTGTCCTGAGTTGGAGTATCTGGAAGTTTTGATTTCTGAGGGCATGAGAAGTTTTCTCTCGGTTTCATGTAAACCTAGATTGAAATATTTTCACATTGGGTGTGGCAACGAGCTCAAGAGGATTGAGATGTTTGTACCCAGTCTTGAAACGTTAAAATGTAATTTTGCATATTCATGTTCCATTGACTTGGCTAGTTGCACTCTTCTCAAACATTTGGAAATAGACCAAGCTATCCTGTCCTCTGATTGTGTCCCTATTCAGTATCTTTTATCTAACCTTCTCCAAATTGAAGAATTGCATTTGTCTAACTGTAAATCGGCTGACAAAATTCAAATCTCAAGTTCATGCCTCAAGAGACTTGTCATGACCGAGTTACTCGAAAGCTTTCCTGGTGCTGAACTTGACATCCCAAATTTACTTAGTTTAAACTTCGTTTCTATGGGTGAATGTAATCCTAATAACCGGTTCAGTTCTTGGAATGTTCCCAAGGTAGAAGATATTCACATGTTGTTTTCTGTTAAAAGCTTTCAGAGTGCTTGCAGGGGTGGACTGAAGGGGTTCCTTATGCAGTTACCAAATTATGAAGATTTGAAATTGATTATACGGTGCAGAGGTAATCAGGTAAAGTGTCATTATGTTTTTACTTCACATACATTGCTACCTGAAGTCGCATATGTTTTTTTACTGAGATTACAAGCTTTCTATTTCTTCTAAAAGTAGCATGCCATCCATGCGAGTATAACTCTTTAGGATCATGCGGAGTATTTTCTGTCTTCATTTTATCATGGGAAAAGTCTGAATACACCATTTTGTTTAGCCCAAAGAACAATTATGCTCATTTTGTTAAAAACTTTCAGTTTCTCTGAATAAAAACACCTCGTTTTCATGGCTCAGCTCGATTAACATTCTTCTTTTTATCTCTCTCGCTGCCTCTTACTAGATCTCATATCTATCTTCTGTTGTTGCCTCCAACAAATAGTATCCTCTCGGGCACTTACAATAATTCTTCTTTTGGTCGAGACGATGAATGAAACAAAGTAGATGCCGTCTGTTCTAGAGATTTCTTCGATGATCAGGTGTAATAAGATGATTCTGATTCAATTTACAAACTGGGTTCTTGCTCTTTAATTGATGATTCTATCAATTGCTTTAAGAACAGCCATCCTGGCTCATATTATTATACGCTTAATTGGAACTGCCACAACTTTTTAAAATTTGAAGGTTATAGCTTTTTCTTTTTTTATCTGAATAGAGAAGGTTGTTGAGGTTGTGGTCATCTGTGTAACACTCATCAACATACAAGAAAATGGAGAAGCATATAATTATACATGCAAGGTTTACTGTAACATCTTTGAGTGGTTCAATGGTGGTAAGTGACAAGGGTTCTCGTCCAGCTAATGCACATGATAGAAATTCCAACGAAGATCAGTTGAATATATGAGATCTACATTTGGTGCCATATTCGGACTACTCATAGTTAGCAGTGAGAAGAAGTCTATCCCTCATTAAAAAGGCTGAAAACTTGATCCCGATACTTATTTGGTCGGCCGTCGATGGTAATTAATCTGTTCTGATTCTGTGAGTAAGTGAGTTTAAGGTTGGTTCTGTTTGATCATCTTGCCCCTACTTTCTCTCCCTAATCAGACACTGGGGCTGCTTCTCGTCTTGCTACGCCCTGGCAGGCGGAGGCCGTGAAAGGACCTGTTTATCCATGTACCCAACATTAACTTAGATTAAGTTCAGTTCCTCCATGCCCAAACAAGATAATCTTCCGATTCCTTAAGGGATATTTTTGGACCGTTTAAGAAATTTTCAGGTTAAATGAAAGTGTTGTTACTTATGAGGCTTAGGCTATGTTGCGTTGGACTTATTTCAATCCAGATACACTGGATCAGTATAGACCACCATGATATAATATATTACTCGCTCGTTGCCTTATAACTTTGTCATCTTTAGAACTTTGACCTAATATATATTTTTATTTGAAATTATTTATAATATACAAAGATATGAAAATGTTCTTTGTTAAAAGTACTTTCATACAAGTATAAGTTTTATAACTTCGATAACATTATACTAATCAAAATCATGGCCCAAACTTTACGATGGAGTTAGGATGTTGTAGTATTCTTATTATACTGATCTATTCATTTGGACTAGAATTTTCTTGTCTAGTCTGGCCTACACTAGCCTGATTTCTTTCAGTTTGTTATAATATGGTCCCTTATGTTATTTTTATTTTTGTCTAGTCTAGTTATATTTGATATTTTGTGTACTTTGTTACTATGAAATGCAAGTCTAGTATAGTCATGTCTAGTTTGGTCTAGTAAATCCGGTTTGACCTAAGTTAGACTCGTGATATATGACCCGGTCTACTCTAAATGTTTCTTGTTCGGTCTCTTGTGGTTGCTATGTTTTTATGTAAATTTATTTGTTATGGTGAAAGCCAATTCACTGATAAATATGTTAAAATACAGAAAATCAAAATTTGTTAATTTGTTTTGGTAAGATTATTTCCAGTTCAATTATCTTTTTTGGTCTAACAAACTATAAGATTATTCTTATCATGTGCAACCTTTATTTTTACAACCAATTTAAATAATACCCTGTAACATTAAAAAGTGTGACAATGTTGTACTTTAATAACTACGAGTCTACGACACAACAACAGCATCCAAACCTTAATTCACAAAAGATTTTGTGATTGGCCAACATAATTCGATTCATGATATTAGAGCTAAAAAGAGAAGAGTTAATAAGAATAAAAAGATAAAGTAAGATAAAAATGGATAAGGTAAAGATAAATGAAAGATAAAAATAACATAAGAACGTAAGAAAGATAAAAGATAAAAAGATTAAAGAGCATAAGAAATATAAAAAACATAAGAACATAGAAAGATGAAGAAGATAAAAGATAAAAGATAAAGAGAGTGGAAAGAGAGAAAAGATATCAATCGTCCACACGGATATGTGCCCTCCACTTTGCTATATGGGCCCTCCACTTTGCTTAATAACTTCGATATGTATAATATATTGCTCTGCTATTAAAGTATATCTATAAAAATAAACTTCACATAATGCCAAATCAGAGTATGAGACTAGTTCACACCTGTTAAAACCAAGTTTAACCAGATCAAACCAAACAAGAGCAATTCAGATCAGACTAGACTAGAAAATCACATATTGCTCGATGGGCTAAACTTTTAGGGTGTAGTTAAGACTCTTTTTGTTATCTTTAATCTCAAACTTGCTCTAATGCCAGCCATTAGTATAAGTAATAAAATCAGTATTATCATGATTATAACCTCGATCCTCATATTATAGCTATTACCGTTATTATATTATGCAGTATTATCATTGTCGTTGTTGTAGTTGGTATTATAGAACATCTAAAATTTATCATTGAATTTAATGACTATTTACAGGATCTAATTATGCATGAGAAACTGCACACTGTGTCCTTTTCTTCACTGAATAAATTCTTAAAAAAGGCAAAGCCAAAATTTGTGTTCATATCATCTAGAAGAGTTGATTCGTTCTTGGCTCGTTTGCTGGTTTCTACAAAAGGCAATGCTAGTCTATCCATGATATTTTCTTCTCGCAGGAGCATAGAGGTATTTAGTAGTAACTTTTAGACGTGATATATGGATGGAGTGTGTTTCTATTGCAGGACTGTTCTGAGTGTTTGTTTTATGTTTTGTACTTTTTAACCTGAATTTCAGTTGCTGCACGAGAAATTGAGCAACGCATCAATACTGAAGCATTGGTTTAGGGAATTTCATCTGGTTTCTATGGAGGAAATGGGGTATGAAGCTGACTCTGATGTGAACCTATTCATGAAGACCCATTCAACAGGTTACCACACTGCTAGACTAATCCTCATCAGGAAGAGTTGGATGGAAATGATCTGAGGACAAGAAAAAACCTCTTCTGAAAAGCGATAGGCGGTGGCCCCTGGCCGGGCTTAATCGGGCCTAGAACAAGAAAAAACCTCTTCTGCAGCGTGCTTATATTCACATCAGTCAGATGATACTTGCCGTCTGTAACACTGCGCTACTGCAATGACAATCCATTCTAAAAGGCGTTGAGAATCTTTACATTCTCTCAAAATCGTTAGTTTTTGAGGACAGCTCTCCTCCAAGGCCTTGGTCCTTTTCTAGAACAATTTGCAGCTTGGTTTTACATTATCAATCTTATCACGAGATATCAGAGCCTCCATTGGGGATGATCTAACTATTGAAACTTATATAGTTTATACTAGTGATAAAAAATTGAACTTAATATTTGGCCATAAATGAAGTTGACTTATTATGATTCATAAGACCGCCTAGAATTACCATTCTGGTGTCTTATTGAGATATTTATAAGTTAATTGGGAGATGAGAAGTGATCGAAATGATAATCCAGAAAAAGAAAGCATTAATATACTTAGGGACCAAAATATGAGTAAACTTGAATCTTGGTGAACAAATTATTGAAATATTTCACCATACATGACTACATGTTAAAATTGCCTATAAATCATTGATGGGATATTAAGGTCCGGCCCAATATACCGGCCCAGAATATCCCTAGGGCCCAGACGCAAGGGGAGTCATAGGCCCCGAACGAGTGTTCGGCGCATTCCTAGAGCCCAACGCAGAAGATAGTCCAGAAGAGATCATCAATCCCGGACAGGAGTGGGTCGAGTCCAGATGAAGAGCTCGTTCGGCACCTCTCGAACGAGGTGTAATTAGCACTTGGGTAATCAATTTACTCCCGGGTAAGTAGCTCAGCATAGCTTAATCCCGAACGAGGCTTCAGGCAAGTGGCAGGCCAGCATGAAGGCAGAAATCAATCGGGTCAGGAATCTAGACCTTGAGTTTGGGTGAGAGTTTTAGCCTCCGTTGTTTAATGGGCCTCAAATCCAGGCGATGGCGGAGGGCATCGTCGGGAGGACCTTTCTTCATCACCGCTATATCGTCGCCAGATTTCGCACTATCAGAACTAGCACCTGAAGTCTCACTAGAAGAATCGTTGGAGTGGGCGTCTTCGGAACCACTAGTAGATGGGGCATCCCCATCCGCATTCTCTGCAGCGGCACTAGTGCCCGCAGTGTGACGTGCACTTTGTCGTAGTGCGTCAAAATAAATTCAATACTAACACTTATACGTAGTATAGTGTAGTAGAGTTCGTATCCACAGGGAAAGGAAATAATTCTCTTTTTATGAAACTAGTAAATAATAGGGGGTTTGGGGGTTGAATGATTTAATTTAATTAATATGTGTTTAATTCAAAAATAAAAAGAACTTGACTTTGCTACTTTCCACTTGTTGATATATTTAGTCGATCCTTGTTATATCTATAACTCATCCCCTCTCGAATACTCAATCGAGGAGTATATCCAATTCATTGAGGGTAGTTATTAACAATGACCGTTCATTAACAACCCTTACTATTAATCAAATATAGAACAACGCCGTAAACCAATTTAATAGTAGCATTTAATATTTTTAACTCCTTGATTAAATCAATTGAGATTGATAACCTCAACACAACGGTTTCAGTTTAACCAACAAAATTAATCCCTCTTAAGTCTATTAACCACGACCGTGCATTAATAAACCGAAGTTACTTACTTGTGAAACCATCAACGATTAACCATCGGTTCGTTGATCATTTCTAGTAATAATTATTGTCAAAGTGTTAACTAATCGTCACTAGCAACACCCCAACATTAATATAGAATGAGATTAAAGGAAGAATTAATATTCAAGAAGAGAAGTTAAGAAAATAACTCACAACTTTAATAATCAACAAGCTTCAAGAGCAAAACCAAGAAATGGAAGTTTAGCTCCTCATTTGGAGACTAAACATGCTAGAAAATATAAAGAAAAATTATTCTAAAATGAGCTTAAGAGTATGTGTGAATTGGTGATCTATTTGGGAAGGAAAGGGGAGTATTTATAGGCTTTTGGAGCATGCAGGGGTGTGTACCCGATCGGACATCAAGGGCACCCGATCGGGTACCTTCAGTGGCTTCCCGGAAGCTCGAAAAGTGGGACATACCCGACCGGGTATGTCGGTCACCCGATCGGGTATGGACACTCGAACATGGCTAAAAATCCTCCTGCATGTTGCCTTGTCCCGGATCCGATCCGATTTGAAATTTCAACAGGATACCCGATCTGGTATAGGTCATACTCGACCGGGTATATATAGACCAAAAATTAGGATCTCCTATTCTGTCTTGTGTGTTTGCACCTTCCTTCCACTTTTGGGGTTCACCAACGGTCGCTTGAGTGATCATGGACCTGTTTGAGCTCGGAATACATCTAATCTAAACAAATTTTAAACATTTTTACAACTAAACTATTACAACAAAAGTGTGTAATATCCAAAGTAACAATCAATCAAAACTAATTAAAAATACAAACATAAACATGGAAATTACATGTTTATCAACTCCCCCACACTTAGTTTCTTTACTCATCCTCGAGTAAAGTCAAATGTTCACAAGTGTCTCAACAAATCCTCATAAGTTCAAGAACAAAAACAAAGAACATAAGATCACCAAGGTTTGCAAATGAGTTATACAAAACTCCTCCTCCTCCTCCTCCTCTTTCTCCAAGAGATGATGTCCTGCAAAAACACATATTTCTCTCATATCTCTCGTTTTGCCTAGGAGCCTTTTCAGGTTTTCATCCTAGCATCTCTTTTCTTTTTCCTTCCTTAGCACTCATTCATTTTTTTATAAGCCCTTGTTGCTTAGATTGCCCGTTTTTGGCTTTTCAACCTAACTAGCATTCATTTCTTTTATTGGTTTTTTTTTGAAAATAGAAACAACGAGGAAGGGAAAAAATGTGTCCCTTTGCTTGGGTTGCCTGCCAAGAAACGCCTTAGTTAACGGCGCGGCACGACGATATCTTCTGTATTTTCTCATTCATAGGCCGGTTCAGCAAGGTCTATGTCTTCCACGTTTTTGGGTTGAAAACCCTCAAAGAAGGGTTTTAATATTTGTCCGTTCACCTTGAGTACTTCTCCCGTCTCTAGGTCTTGAATTTCCACCGCCCCGTGTGGATATGTTTTGACCACTTTTTATGGTTCAGTGCATCGGGATCTTAGTTTTCCAGGAAATAAACGAAGGCGTGATTGTAATAAGAGGACTTTTTCATCAAGTTTAAAGTCCTTCCTTATGATTATCTTGTCATGCCATTCCTTCGTTTTTCTCTTGTAGATCTCGGCATTGTCATAAGAATTAAGGCGCAGTTCTTCCAACTCTTGTAATTGGAGTTTCCTATGCATACCGGCCTCGTCAAGATTGAGGTTGAATTCTTTCACCGCCCAATATGACTTGTATTCAAGCTCTACGGGGAGATGACAAGCTTTGCCGAACACAAGTCTATATGAAGACATACCGATAGGAGTTTTGTAGGTAGTTCGGTACACCCATAATGCATCATTAATGCGTATGCTCCAGTCCTTCCGGTTTGGGTTCACTGTTTTTGAAGTATAGACTTCAACTCTCGATTTGAGGTCTCCGCTTGGCCATTTGTTTGAGGGTGGTAGGATATAGAGATTTTGTGAGTCACACCATATTTTTTTAGTAGGGATCCCACAATTTTATTACAAAAATGTGTTCCTCTATCGCTTATTAAAATTCGGGGGACCCCGAACCTAGAAAATATGTGTGACTTAAGAAAGCTTGCAACCACCTTTGCATCATCAGTTTTTGTGACTTTAGCTTCCACCCATTTAGAGACGTAATCCACCGCGAGAAGGATGTAAATATTACCTTGAGAGTTTGGAAAAGGTCCCATGAAGTCAATCCCCCATGCATCGAAAATCTCACAGAAAAGCATGGGGTTTTGTGGCATCTCGTTTCTTCTAGAAATGTTTTCCGCTCTTTGGCAGTTGTCACAAGCTTGACAAAAACCATTTGCATCACGAAAAAGACTTGGCCACCAAAATCCACTTTCAAGTATCTTCATTGTCGCCCGTTCCGGGCCGAAATGTCCTCCACAAGCATAATAATGACAAAACTCTATGATGTGGGCTATCTCATATTCGGGGATGCATCTTTGGATTATTTGATCCTTGCAATGCTTCCACAAATATGGGTCATCCCAAACATAGAGTCTTGAATCCATTCTCAAATTTTCTTTTTGAGATTTTGAGAGTTATGGAGGAAATTTGCCGGAAACAAGGAAATTCACGATATTTGCGTACATGGTTGTATGACTTTGATGGAGAAGAGAGTCTCGTCCAGGAATTCTCCTTTGATGAGATTTGTATGGAGGCCTTCGATGTCTTTGTTGGGGATTAGGCGGCTTAGATGATTGGCCACCAAGTTCTCCGCTCCTTTCTTGTCTTTGATTTCTATGTCAAACTCACTCAATAGAAGGACCCATCGAATGAGTCTTGGTTTGGACTCCTTCTTTGTCATAAGGAATCAGAGAGCGGTATGGTCGGTGTACACAATCACTTTCGTTCCAAGGAGATAGGAACGAAATTTCTCCAAAACAAAGACCACCGCTAGCATTTCCTTCTCGGTGGTGGAGTAGTTCTTTTGCGCTTCATTTAAAGTTGAGGAGGCATAATTGATGACATGAGCAGCCATCCCGATCTTTTGGCCTAGAACAGCCCCCACCGCATAGTCGCTTGCGTCGCACATAATCTTCAAAACGACGAGACCAATCGGGAGCTTGTATGATTGGGGTAGTCACCAATCTTGCTTTCAAAGTGTCAAAAGTCTCTTTGCATTCATCATTGAGAACAAATTCTACCTCCTTTTGCAAAAGTTTGCATAGAGGAGATGAAATTTTGGAGAAGTCTTTGATGAATCTTCTATAGAATCCAGCGTGACCAAGGAAAGAGCGAATGATATGTCTCGTACATTTGTGGGGTACGGAAGCGTTTGAATCACATCAATTTTAGCTTTGTCCACTTCAATCCCCTTTGATGAGATCACATGCCCAAGAACGATCCCTTGTTCCACCATAAAGTGGCATTTTTCAGAATTTAGAACAAGGTTGGATTCAATACAACTTTTTAGCACAAAAGTGAGATGATAGAGGCAAGTGTCAAAAGAGTCCCCATGAATTGTGAAATCATCCATAAAGACTTCCATGAATACCACCACAAATTCTAAAAAGATGCTCATCATGCACATTTGAAAGGTTCCCGGTGCGTTGCATAATCCGAACGACATTCTTCGATAGGCAAAAGTGCCAAATGGGCATGTGAAAGTTGTTTTCTCTTGGTCCTCCGAGGCTATTGGAATTTGGAAATACCCGGAGTAACCATCGAGAAAACAATAGAATTGGTGCCCGACTAGCCTCT